TTAGGTGTAACTTAGACTTGTATCACTTCCTTTAACACCTCATTCTGTTTACTTTCTTAACTTATACATATTCAATTGTGTCAATACTAAATTTACTTGCTTACGTTCATTTGATAGCTTCATATTATCGTTTGTGGACGATGAGAACTTCATTCGATGAATTACATATGTTCATAGTTCATTTGGTTAGGGTATGTTGGGACTTGTCCCAATGACTGGCACGCCTTTGGATATGGATTCATTGAATTACCTTAGATGTGATTATATTGTCATTTCAATACTTTTTCTATATATGATTGGCATAAAATTAGTATTGGCGTAGAAAATTTTAAAGTGACTTCATAGCCAATTTATTGGCACAAGCCAAAGTTAGACTCATTCATGTTTAGTTTGGTATACCTTAGCCATTAGACAATCTTCTAATTATTTAAAGATAACATTATAATCCAATTCCCTTCAACTTATTGGACAATGTATTTTTAGCCATTTTATTGGCATAAGCCAACCATTCATTCAAGATGTGATTTCATGGAGATCTCTTATCCAACCTTATTACATAGTTTAAGCATAACATTTAGTAGCCATTTCGGATAGCTTCATATGAACAATTAAATGAACATAACATCCTCAAAAAGTCACATTTAACAGTAGATATACACCTAATGACCATAACATCTCAAGACTAACACTTTCAGACATAAGTTAATGCAACATTGTTCTTTATATTGCGTAATGAACACATAAAATCATACATGTACAAAATATAGGTTCATTAGACATTTAAAAATCAAGAACCTACACATTAAAATAAGCCAACACCACATACCAACAACATGATCAAGATTACATCTATACACTTATTGGAATCGAAAACAAGGATACTAGGGAGGAAGGACGTTCAAAAAGAACATTGGGAAACAACCCTAGTTTAGAGATTTCATAGATTCAAGACGATGGAAAATACTCTTGAATAAAGAATTCTAGTAAATAAAACCAATAACTTAAGTAGAACTTAATCTACGAAGACCACCTTGAACGAAAACTTGGAGAAACCTTGAAATCGCCTAGAACGTCTATGAACTTTCTGGCTCTTTCTTTTGTTCATTTTAATGTTGTGTTCACTGAGTGTTTGATCGTGAGTTTTAGGTTTAGGAACTGATCTTGACTCATTCAACAAGTATTAATAAGTTAATTTAATAAATAAATTAATTAATTACTAAAAAGCCCCTCCTATATTGACTAGAACTAGGAAAAACACAACACTTAGTCAAATCCAAAAATTTTCTTAAGAATTTCGTTTCGACCCCTTTAAATTAATTAATTAAATGAAAAATTTAATTAATTAATGTACCTAAGGTAATTACTAAAGTACCCCTAACTCATTGGTACCATAACTAACCCTTTTTACCATCCTAGGTTAAGTACTAGGATGTTTCTTGATTAGTAGGTTAATGTACGAATTTTGGTTTGACCCCTTTAATTTGATTAATTAAATGGATAATTTAATTAATTAAGTGACCTAGGGTAATTTATAAAGTACCCTTAAGTCATTATGACAATAACTAACCCTTTGGACCATCCTTGGTTTGGTACTAGGTTGTCTTTTTCTTGTCTTAACTGAAATCTTAAAACTACTTTGTGATTTCGGTTTCTCCCTTTTAGATTAATTATTTAATCTGATAAATTAATTAATTAAGTAACCTAGGGTAATTACTAAAGTATCCCTAAGTTTTTAGGACCATAACCAACCCTTTGGACAATTTTAGGTTAGGTACTAGGTTGTCTTTTGCTTGCCTTAACCGAAATCTGGAAATGGCTTTGTGATTTTGGTTTTGTCCATTTAAATTAATTAATCAAGTTGATACATTAATTAATTGAGTAACCTAGGGTAATTACTAATGTTTTTTAAGACTATAACCAACCTTTTGGACAATCCTAGGTTAGGTACTAGGTTGTCTCTTTAACTTAATACTAGGTTGGTGTCACCCAATTTAAGTCTTAGGTTGTCGGGTGCACTAATTAGTTTATTTTGGTTTGTCCTAGGTTAATTAATTAGTTAGGGAATTAGGTTAGAGTCTATAATTATTTATAGAGCTAGGCTTCACATGGGTGAACCCATGTGCACGCCTTCCCCCTAACTACTGTAACCAAATTCAGTTAGGGTTGTCCCCTCCTATAGCCGATTCCCACATGCTTTGACCATGTGGTTGCACATGGATTGGTGGTACTTTCCTAACTAACTATTATTTATTTCCTATTTGGAATATTTGCTTATTGTCTCATGGACCCTCACTATGTCCTTGGGCACTACTTAATCTACATGATCATTTTAAATAGTCATGTGATATGGTACTAGGCTTGACACTTTACCTAATGTGTTACTATTATGCAACTTGATTTTTAGCTTAGGGTCATTATTGCAGGTACATCTCTTAAAGAAGCTCATTAATACTTAGAAATTTTGCTAACACCCTTTAAGCCAATATTTTCTACTATCCCAATATTTTGCTTATTTGGGTTTTATATAGAAATTGGCTAATACTTAGACAATTTTCTATACTATGCCCAATATTTCTCAATATTAGGCATTGGAATGCCTATGTATCCCAAATACGCTTTCTTAAAGATCTATTGGGCTCTCCACTAGACATGTCATTTTTTGGAATGTTAAAGGTATGCCAATGATTAGGACAAGTCCCAACATACCCGATCTAAATGAATTTATGAACATAATAGTATATTGAACAAGTACTTATAATTTTCATAAAGAATGGTACAAGACTACCAAATAAAAGTGAACAAGATAAGGTGAGTAATGAAATAACTAAAAGCTTATGAGTTATGGAATTAACCTAGAATGAGGTATTAAAGGAAGTGAGAGAAGTTTCACTTGCACCTAAACAATTATGTTAAAGATACTCACATAAGAGGGTGTTAGAAATCATGAGACAAGTCTCATTCACACCATAATTATAATGTAAGATTTAAGTTCACATTCATCAATTATATAAAGGGAGGAGAACTCATTCCTGAAGATAAGCATATCTTATACTAGAAGCAAGTTTCCATAATTTATGAGTCAACTCTAAAAGTCGTAAAGTATGATAAATTGAGCTAAGCACAGATAGACTACTAATGAGCTTGTGCAAGCACATGTAAGCCTTACGAGACGAGATTACCACCAAGGTGGATAAGGGTCTCCAAATTCTCCTAGTGTTTATACTATGTTGTAAGCATAGGTTACTAGCTATTGGATACACCTAAGAAAGCTAGGAATTATTCGGTTTCACTTTGGCTGGTGAACCACCTCTTTTAAATGTGGGAAAGACACTGGATTTCATGTTAGCTCACATGATCTATGTCTTTTAAATGCTAAAGATTTCTTTAAGAAACTAAGAAAGAAATAAATAAAGAACTAGGAAGATGAGGGGTGTTCGAATAGGATGACCAAAGAGTGAGGTTCGACTAAGTAATGATGTAAGTCATTCTTACTAATTACACAGAAAGATCCTAATGGAATTTTAAAAGAATATCCTAAGTCAACCTAGCATTTTCAAAGTGAAAATGAGATCAAAGAATAAGAAATGTAAGTTCAAAGTGAACCAAGTAAGCAAAAGCATAAGTATATCAAATCATCAACATTTGATAAGAATGAAGTTTTTAATAGTTATTGGCTTATGCAAATAAAGGGAGCAAAACATAATGACTCATGAATTGGAGTATGAACATATGCCCCACCATATTTATATTATCCAAATGATCAACTAATGGGCGTAGACAATAAAGATGGGGTTATAAAGACTTCATGCCCAATTTAACAAGAATGGAAAGAATAACTTGTGAGTAGGGTAGTCAAATCATTTCTTTAGTCTTTTGGATTACTTACTTGATTTATTGTATCAATGGGAATAACATGAATAATTTAACTGTTAAGTAAAATATAGGATGAAAGGAGATCATTGAACTACACAACAAAAAGAAGAAAAGACTGAAAAATAAACTAAGTCAAGGAGAGAGAGCTCTCGGCCTAAGGGGAGGAAAAATATTAAATTTTTCTTGAATTGTTCTAAAATTATGTTAATGATTCAAAGGTCTTATGTTCATATAAAAAATGATTTCTGTGCTTTAAATGCATGAAAATATGTCATTCATAGTATGATTCATAAATAACGAATTAGGAAAGTGAGGTCACTTCACTTTCTAAAAATGATATGTTGCTATAGGAAGAGCTTTCCTGGATCATGTATAGTCCTTATGCGTTTATGTGCATTTAACCATAATCAGTACAAGTGTATACTAACCCATATACAATTACTATCTTTATAGGTGCAGGTCCTTGAAGAAGATGGAAGATTAGTTGAAGTTGTTTAGACTAGTACCTCCAGACTTTGGTAGGTCCTCGTGAGTTCGAGGATGCCTACACTTTATTTTCTAGCTTTAGTAGATTATACATAGCTAGTGGATGTTTTCCCTAGCATTCCCTTTTAACCATTTGTTCAAGCTTTCATATTAAGGCTGTTTTGGCAACTATTAATGATACAATTAATTCTTCATTTCAATTGTTCAATCTGTTAATAGATGGTTGTTTAGTTTGAGCTCTTAGTATATCACTCTTATATAATAATTATATGAAGTCTAAGTTCACTTGAGTAAGTTTAAAAAGTTTTAAAATTTTTGCTAAATTTAATAGTATGATTGTGATGAAACCTAATAAGAGGCTTGTCTGCGACCTGTGTGTGATTAACGATGCTGGTCTCTTCTAGGGTCTAGGACCTAGGTGTGAAAAACTTGGTATCAGAGCATGAGGTTAAATTACCTAGGAACGAAGGAGTTGTTAGTTTCTAGCTTATGGTTGTGAAGTTAACCACAACCATGACTTAGAGACTTAGTGATGGTAAGAATCTTCCATTCTTCTACTCTTTATCCTGCCGTGTACAATTTTGACATTTTGTTTCATTCTAGAATCTAACTTCCTTCTTGTGTGTGCTTGTAGAAAAAGAATGAAAACAAGAAACGCAGGAAGGAGAGTTGGAGAAACAACTGATGGGGGAAACCAAGCTCCTCCCCAAGCCCTAGTTGTTGGAGTGCAAGTGTTTGTCAACCCAACTGCGTTGACAGATGGAGAAGTGAGAGCAACACTGGTTTAGATGGCCCAAGCCATCGCTACTCAGGCACAAGCTATCACAACCCAGACCACTAGAGTGGGTGCTCCTAGGGAGAACCCATATGCTAGCACCATGGCTAGCATACTGAGAGATTTCAATAGCATACTGAGAGATTTCACCATATGAATCCTCCAGTCTACTTCTGGTCCAGAACCAATGAGAATCCCCATGAGTTTGTGGATGAAGTCCATAAGATTCTCTGTGTTATGCGTGTTAATAAATAGGAGAAGGCTGAGTTGGCTGCATACCAGCTCAAGGATGTGGCTCAGGTATGGTACATGATGTGGGTAGATAGACGAGCACCAAGAGATGCCCCCATCACTCGAGACATTCTCATAACTTCATTCCTGGAGAGGTTCTTTCCCAGAATTTAGAGAAAGGCTAAGGTTGAGGAGTTCATCAACTTATGTCAAGGAGGTATGTCAATCAAGGAATACTCCTTGAAGTTTGTTAAACTTTCCAATTATAGTTTTTCCTTAGTGTCCAGTAACAGGGATGAGATGAGCAGGTTTGTGACTGGTGTATCAAAGGATCTGGTGGAGGAATGTCGGGCAGCCATGTTGCATGATAATGTGGACTTTACTAGGTTGATGGTACATTCACAGTAGGTGGAGGAGATTCGTTGGAGGAAGAGAGGCCGAGAAGGCAAGAATCCAAGGCCCTCAGATCAGGCTAGTTCTAGCACTGGTAGGAGTTCTCTTTGAGTTAAGAACAGGCCCAAGTTCAAGAAAGGGCACCGGCACTTAGGTAATCCTACTCCTTCCAGCAACACTAATGACAAATGGGGAAAGTATGCCCCAAAGAAGGGCAATGATAGAAATTCCCAGCGTGACAGAAAGCTGTGTGGTAAGTGGGGCCGTTTTCATGGAGGTGAATGCATGGTAGGTTCTAATGCCTGCTATAGGTGTGGCAAGAGTGGACATATGATCAGGGACTGCCCATATGTGAAGAATCTGGCCAAGAAAGATACTCAGCCTCGGCCTAATCCTATTCCTGCAGTCGAGCCTCGCAAGAGGAACACTATCTATGTTTTGAAAGGTAGAGAGGAGCAGGAGAAGTCAACTGATGTGCTCACTAGTAATTTGCATGTATTTTCTTTTCTTGTGTATGCATTGTTAGATCCAGGATCAACCTTGTCTTCTGTTACTCCTTTATTAGCTACTAAATATGAATTGCTTCCTAAGATCTTGCATGATCCTTTTTTAAGTTAGTACTCCGACACGAGACAACGTTAGAGATGAAACAGTATATAGAGATTGCCCAATAGTTGTTCTTAATAGAGTTACCTATACTGACCAAATAGGATTAACCATTCTTGACTTTGATATAATTTTGGATATGGATTTGCTCCATAAATGCTATGCTACCATTAGGGATGGCAGGGGAACCGGGATGGCCCGCCCCGACCCGAACCCGGCCCATCCCCCAGGGTTTAAGGGGTTTAAGGGGTGGGGGGATGAGGGGACCAGTTAGGGGACGGTTCACCCCTGCTTTCCGATCGACCCAGCCCGGTCCTGGCCAGGTTGAACCGGCCAGTTCGCGGGATCTCCTTCCCCCCCTTTTTTTTAAAAGTTTTAAAACTGACTGTTTAGATCCGTTGGGGAAACGGCTAGTGCCCCCCCCAACGGATTTATGTCCCTTTTTGTGTTCCCAAACACCCTCTACTTTTAATACTTTATTTTAAACCCTCAAGTTATAATAATTAAACTTTAACCCATTTTTAATACTATAAATACACCTATCCCCTACTATTTCTTACAAAATCATCTTTTCTCATTTCTCTCATCTATTTTCTATATCCTATCAACTCTCAATTCTCAAGTGTCAATTTAATTTCTATTCAATTTTAATTCTCATATTATTAGATTCCATATATTTCAATTTTTAATACAAAATTTTCATATTATATCAATAAATATAATTATATTATCTCATATTTGTTATCAAGTATTGGTTGGAGACTTGGAGTTACAAATTACAAGTTACAATAAATCACAAGCTTCACAATCGGTTTAACGTCTGCTATTAATGAAGACGCTTGGTACATTCGTTTCATAATATTTATATTTTATTATTCGTCTTTACTTTTGTGTTATTATTATTTTTATATTACACTTTATATATATATATATATACATACATATATACACACACACACACACACACACACACACAGACACACACACACACACACACACACACACACACACACACACACATATATATATATATAATTAAGTATGAGTTCTACCAAAAAAACTAGCAGTAAAGGAAAAGAGACATCACAAGATAACGAAGAAAGTAGACTTTTTAAATTATTTAATTTTGGTAAAAAAATAGTAAAGTAAAAAGAGTAGTAAAAGTGGTGGTACTTCATCTAAATCAACGAGTAGAGTTAGATTTAACATAAAGGATTCTACTTATGTTGATGATACTCCTTATAATATTGATTCAAATGTTCAACTCGATCACGAAAGTTTAGAACGACGTTATGTTAATATTAATCCTAATGTTGATGAAAATTCAGGTGAAGAAGTAGAAGCTGATTTGGGAGAAGAGGAGTTAGATGAAACACCTACTATTCCGGTGACAGAAGTTCGAAATGAGACTATCAATTTACCGGAGCAATATTTTGGACATCCACCCCTTATACCTCCTACAAGGGTGAAGGTGAAGTATCAACGACCTAAAACTTCTATTGTGTGGCAATTTATGACTTTTGATAAAGAAAATATTGTTGCTATTTGTAATAAGTGTAAGCAACCTTTTAAACATAAACAAGGTGGGGGTCGAGGTGGAACGAGGGGATTAAATAGACATTTGTTATCTTGTGTGCCGATTCAATATAACGAAGCTAAAGCATAAGCCAATAGAAAAAAGGGAATTTCAATTAATGAATTAGATATTACCGGGAATGCATCGATAGGGGCTTCTAACATGGTTCAAGGAACATTAGATCCTTTTAACCCCGCTGGTCCAATAACACAACGTAAATATAATAAGGAATTAGATTGGGAAAATTCAGCTAAAATGGTTTTCGTTTGTGGTTTTACTTATAGTTTTCCTTCAAATCCCGATTTTGTTGAATATATTCAACAAACTTATAATCCGGATTATAGAGGCTTTTCAAGAAATACTGTTAAAATTGATGTGTTTGAATATCAAGGTAAACATTGTCAATTTCTTCGTTGTCTATTTGGCATATTAGATAGTAGAGTGTCTATAACTTCGGACATGGGTCGTAGTGTTAATGGAAATGATTATTTAACTATTAATGCACATTGGATTGATCATAATTGGAATTTGCAAAAAAGAATTATAAGTTATAAACTATGTATAGAGAAAAAAACTAGTGCATATTTAGCTTCAAATATTTTAAGTGTTTTAGATTATTACATGATTATAGATAAAACAATGTCTGTCGCATTACATAATGCATCTAATAATACAAATGCTGCTAACATGTTAAAAGTTAGATTATGTCCAATTGACAATAATATTTTTCATGTTAGATTGTTGCACATATATTAAATTTAGTTGTACAAGATGGTATTTCATCATTTGATTGTGGTAATGTAAAAGTTGAATATGCTGTTACCTTGATTTTTCATACAAACAATGCTGCTAGAATTAGGGAATTTAATGAGCGTTGTTCACTATGTGAATTGTCACCTAGAAAAATTCCAAAACATATTAAAACAAGGTGGAATTCTCTTTACGAAATGCTTTCGGTTGCTTATAAATATAGAAGACCCATACAAATGGGTTTTAATGCTCATAATGTTGATCCATTAGATAGAATTTGTGATGAAGATTGGGAAGAAACTAAAGAACTATTACAATTTTTAAGACTTTTTTATGATGGTACTACCATGTTTTTCGGAATTTATTATCCTACTATTTCATCCGTGTTAATAAATATTTGTGCTCTTTCAATTCAATTTTGTAAATATAAAAAAATAGATAAATTTAGAGTTGCAATTGAAGGTATGATTGAAACATTTAAAAAATATTTTTTTTCTTATTCCTCGAGTTTTTTTAACGGCTACTTTACTTCATCCTTCTTATAAATTACAAGGTGTGCAAGGCCTTGTCGACAGTTTTTATGAAACTTTAGAAATTTTACCGGAAGAAATTCTAAATTGTCAAGCGTGTAAGTCTAGCATAAAAGTAGAAGCAAAAGTTTTGTATGAAAAATATAGAACTACTGAAAATTTTCAATGAGAAGTTGGTCAAACTTCTAATGTTGAGATTGATTCGTCAGTTCCAATTTCATGTTATATGCGAGGTTTTCTTGGTCTTAATTCTACTAACTGTGATGATTTTGAAGAATATGTTAATCAATCTTTAGAATCATTGGAAATCAAAGATGGCAATGAAGATTTATTAGGATGGTGGAGTAGGCCAAGCGATGCATTTCCAACTTTGAGCAAAATGGTTCATGATGTTCTAGCTATTCAAGCTTCATCAGTTGTATCAGAGGCTGCTTTCAGTGCGGCAAGGTTTAAAATTGGTGATCATAGATATTCATTGGCGGAAGACAGTTTGGAAACAATAGTTTTATTTAGAGACTGGTGCAATGCCGAAAGGAGGAATAACAATTTGCCAAAGTTAAGTAAAAACAAGCAAGTTGGATCAAAACACAAATTGAATGCAGTGATGATGAATTAGAGGCACAAGAATTTCTAACAAGTTTTCCAACACCGGAGGATATCACCATCGATATGATGCGACAATTAGAATTAAATTTTAAAGGAGAAAACAAATATTTTCAGATTACATTCGAGAACTAATTGAAACAGAACCCTTCCTAGAAGGTGGCTGCGTAAAATTAGTTACTCATCTAATATCTGTAACAAATATTAGTTTTACGTATGAGAACTTATTGAAACAGAACCTTTCCTAGAAGGTGGCTGCGTAGATTAGTTACTCCACTAATATTTGTTAATTGTAAGTTGTAACTTCTAAGTTCTATTGAATAAATTTGAAGGTTTTAACTTTTGTTCAAGCTTTTTTATACAATTTTTGTTTTTCATTTTAATTTTAATATATACAATTAAATATATATGCTAAAGTAGTAATCTAATTTTAAAATACTTAATTTAAAGTTTACAATTTACATTACTTTAAAATATTTAAATTACAAATTTAAACTTCTCAAATTTGAAATTTAAAACTTTAAAGTTCAAACTTGAAATTTGAAACATGAATCTTAAAATTTGAAAATTGAAACTTTAAATTTGAAAATTTATTTTGATATTTGAAAATAAAAAATTAAATTAAAAATTGATTAGCTAAAGAAGTATCATTTCAATAAAAATATATAAATATTTAAAAAAAGAATCCCCCGTCCCATGACACCCCGTCCCGTCCTGTCCCCCCAAATCTCATCCCATCCCATATATATAGTGGGACGGGATGGGACCTATTTTTTGCCCCCCAACCCCAACCCAAACCAATTTCCATTCCTCTATATAGAATGACTCCAGTTGAACTCGAAGAGTTGAAGTTGCAGTTAAAAGATCTACTTGATAAGGGATTCATGCAGCCGATCATATCCCATGGGGTGCTCCAGCGGTGTTCATTAAGAAGAGGGATGGAACCCTTAGAATGTGTATCGATTATCGGCAACTCAACAAATTCACTGTAAAGAACAAATACCCTCTTCCTAGAATTGATGATCTATTTGATTAGATCCAAGGTTCAAGTTTCTTTTCTAAAATAGATCTCTGGTCAGGGTATCACCAACTTATAGTAATACAAGAGGACATTCCTAAGACTGCCTTCCGTACTAGGTATGGTCATTACCAGTTTCTTGTCATGTCATTAGGTCCCACTAAAGCACCAACTGCATTTATGGACCTTACGAATAGGGTGTTCAGTGAATACCTTGGTTCTGTTATCATAGTATTCATAGATGACATCCTCATATACTCTAAGACCAGAGAAGAGCATGAACAATATTTGAGAATGACATTACAAGTACTCAGAGAAAATCAGTTGTATGCAAAATTCAGCAAATGTGAGTTTTGGCTGAGATTAATAACCTTCTTTGGTCATGTTGTGTCCAATTTTTCTGTAGAGGTTGATCCAAAAAAGATTGAGTCAGTAAAGAACTGGCTGAGACCCCTTACTCCCACAGACATCCGGAGTTTCTTGGGTTTGGCTAATTACTCTTGCAGGTTTGTTGAGGGATTTTCCTTTATTGCTG